TTCCTCATAGATTGAGTACATTAGTGTAACATCCACACCTCAAGAGTTGACTCCCGCGAGCCACGTAATATTCCTAACCGGCTTACTTACCCTAACTTAGAGGTCCAAACTTACCTCTCCTTCATGAATCAAGTGCCTGCTCACAACAAAAGAGACTCATTCCACAATCAATAACATGCACACACACTGAGGAACTTCAATATAAACAGAATTCACTCACCCTCAGAAATGACATTCATATGCCACAAAAGATGCACCATAGGCTTGCCCGTAGTGTACTACTCTACTAATCGAGCTCATTCAGTCTAGGATCAAGTAAGGCTTTATTTGGTTGTAATGTAGGCTGCGGGACGGGTAGGATAAATGTAGATATACGAGTGGCTACACCTCCCTAAGCACTTTAATACATGTACGTTAGCATTCAAAACCCCACACTTATTTCAAACCATGACTCCACCTTCACATCACTATATATTAACTCCCTTCTTCTTTAAGCACAATTACATCAAGAGCCACCACTTATTAAGGAATATTTTTCACACAACACAACTATTTTTTTTCAAGTGGCTCTTACTTTTTTAAAACAGTGAACCTTTCTCCTTATCTCATTAGTTCCACTCAAAAGCCAAACCCACCATCCCACACTTTAACTTTTACAAAGTTCATACAATTCAAGTGCTCATGAGAGGTGAAAAGGTTCGAAAAGAAGGTTAATTCAAACAAATGGGTAAGGCTTGTAGTGTGGTTGCCAAAGAAACAGGATTACAGGCTCAACGGGGTTAACTATGATACATAACAAATGGGTGGATGAAGTATATATATGGTTCAACAAAGAAATGCCTATATCACTTCCCAGACTAAACAAGACTACTATTTCGCTTTGCAGACACACATGGCAAGTTCTAGGCATCAAATGTCGTGCATACAACAAGCCTCACACACACACATGGCACATGACTCACTCCAGATTGGGTCATCAAACACTCTAATCAGGGTACTTAACCAAATTAAGAACATAGATTTTAAGGCATTCTTTCAAGAGTCGACAACTGAGCCTAAGCGTCACACTATAGTACCTGCTATATTCAAGGCATTGCGACGTTAAGAGATCCTATTTCGTTTCCACCCATAGCCCACAAGTTCCTACTAACAACTAAAGAAAAAAACTAACTGGCCCGGTTCAAATGAAACCCTTAGAAAAGAACTGTGGCTTAAAGAAAAATCAAGGGGGGATTGATACACTACAACAAAGAAAAATCTTTTTGTGTTTTTTTTTTCCCGTCGACTTTAGTCCCTCAAGAAACCCGTCGAATGATATCCATCGTCGAGACAAGTCAAAAATGATTTATGTAAATAAACTACAAAACTATGATACATACAACATACCACAAAGCATCCCCCACCCCACACTTAAAATGATGGCATGTCCCCATGTCATACAAAATAGAGTAAAGCGAGGCGAAGGAACTTCCCTGGAAGATCAGTCCTGATCGGAGACAGCGCCGGGGTCGAGATGACACGCCCTCCCCAATGCACGCAGCCAACCCATGATTTTCTTCTCTGACTTTGCATTTTGGGTGTCCAAGGCATCAACTCTCGTCCCCAAATCCGTGACGGAAGTGCGCAACCCTGCCATTTCCTGTTCTAAGGCTGTCAACTGCGTACTCCGTCTGACTGCAGATGAACCTCCAACCGCGGCTACTTGATCCCGTGGGGGTGAGGATGGCCCAACTTGTTCCTGTGGGGATGAAGAAGGCCCAACTTCCTCCTGCTCTTCATCGCTCTCCTCTGACGCCTCAGAATCATCACTATCAGTTGAACTGGGTGCCACCATGTCTTTCCCAATGGTCACTTTGGATGCCCGGAACATTGTTTCTTTCTTCACCTTGCCATCCACATTGGGGTTATCTGACACCCCTACAGCCCGACACAATCTAGTGACTAGAGATGGGAAGAAGAACCCATACCTCCTCAGTGTTGAACGGATGAACATCTCAGAGTGAATAACCTTGGCTCCTCGAAAAAGATATCTAGCCTGCGCCTTATCAGCTCCCTATAGATATTGGGGCACTCAGCCTAGAGGGAAGCCCTGTCAACTCCTCTTTCTGGTACAAGCTTTCTAATAGCCTTCCAACTGAAGCGGTCTTGGGCAGCTCTGGAGACAAACCTGGTGCTATCAAACTGCTCTGAACTGGCTGATGCCCGTGCTCGGGACGAGCCACCGGTAGTGCGTCTCTTCTTCGAAGATCTCATTGTACCTACACAACAACCACCATTATCAATAATCAGCGGAATAGGTGAACTAAGGGCGGTTACTCAGACTTCACTCGCACTCTTGGTCACAATTTATACTAAAAAGCTCGTTGTGGCAATTCAACAAACACCTACTGTGCATATGTCCCCCAATGTACCCAAAGACCCAATTAAACTCCCATTCTTCACAATTCAACAATGTTTTCTCAACCGAACCAACCTAATGTCCTCACATACCAACATATATACCAACAAATACAACAAAGATAAGAGTACCCATATTTCTACTTTCGTACACTTACAATAGAAGAGAAAAAGAATGAAAAAAATCGAAAAATAAAACAAAAAAAACTAAAAGAAGAAAGTAGAAGCATGAACTTACTTGAGAATCTTGTGAGGACTGGAGCTTGAATAGTGGGTGAGTAGAGAAGAGGGAGAAGGAAAGGAGATTTGGTGAAGATGGTGGAGGGTTACGCTTTTTTTTTTCAGAATTGGGGAAGGGGGAGGGTTTTGTTTTTGTTATGTTGTTTTTTTTGGGGGGGGGGGGGGTGGAAGAATGGGGGATTGGGCGGATGTGGGGGGGGGGGGGGGTTTAAGTTAAAAAAAGAACTAATTAAAAAAAAGGGGGAAGGGAAAAAAATAAAAATTAAACCTGAACGGCGCCAGGTCCGCAGCCGGATCCGCGGTCAGATCCGCGGCCGCGGACAAAACATTTGCAAACTCCGCGATTGATCCGCGGCCGCGGATCAGGCATCCAAGATTTTTTTACTTTTTTTTTGTATTTTTGCCTATCTCCGGGATACTTTCGTCACCCCGAGTCCTTCCGCTAGGCATGCTTTCGTTCCTGCACCTTAGTAGATCGATCAATATTGTCATCGTGCAAAAATCAACTAAAAAAATAAGAACAAAGAAAAATAAATTTGATTGGTTGCCTCCCAACAAGCGCCTAATTTAACATCGCAGCACGACAAATACAACAGTTCAATGGGTTGCCTCCCATGAAGCGCCTGATTTAACGTCGTGGCATGACGCAGGTAAGCGTATTTAAGGTGCGCTCAACATCGGAGGCTCAATCAAATGAATCACTGCCACTACCTTCGTTTCATCCATGCCCACATAATATTTTAATCTGTGTCCATTGACTCTAAATGTGCGCGAGTCATTATCCGCAGCAATGTCTACGTCACCCGTGGGGTGAATTTCAACCACACAAAAAGGCCCTGACCATCGTGATTTCAATCTGCCCGAAAATAACCTCAGTCTTGAGTTGTATAGCAATACCGTATCTTCGGGTTTAAAATTCCGCTCAATAATATTTCTATCATGTATCATCTTCATTCTCTCCTTGTATAATCTTGTGCTCTCAAAAGCGTGATATCTGAACTCATCAAGCTCGTGCAACTCCGTTACTCTACTTGTTCCCGCAGCTTCAATATCAAGATTCAACTGTCTCAACGCCCCCCAAGCTTTATGCTCCAACTCTACCAGTAAATGAGCACTCTGACTGTCGTAACTCTCTCCCGAGTAATTACAACAATATACTAGACATATTCTCCCGAATTACACTAGCTGGCCTTAATTACAGCTCACTTAGATCGCACCCAAGGTTTCGCTATTCCTAATCCCACCTTTAAACCCTTCGTATTGATCCTTCATATACGTTAGGAGTGGTGTTGTTCAACAACTACCTGAATATACACTCTCTCCCGAGTAATACATACTAAATAGGCACAGTCGATTGAGGGCCCTTCAATCAACAGCAATCACAACATAGTTGAACAAATAGAGAAAATACTATGGCAAATCTATATTAACATAACAAGAAATTCATCCTCCAAGAGGTTCCATCAAAACCTTAGATTAGGAGTTTAGCTACGCATACTAAGAGATGAGAATTCAATAAATAAAGTCATAATTAACAATGGAATTAAAAAGAAGAAGAATAAAACTCTAAGGAAAATTCTCTGTCTTTCTTCCGTGTTCTTGCCTTCAAAATCTCTCCAAAAACAGTTATCCCTCTCTCTTGGACGAATTAGGCTTCATATATGTTTAGGTTAGTCGCCCTAAAAATTACATAATTGACCCTGGATTTTTGCCTCCCGTCTGCCCGTCCGCGGCCGCGGATTGGACCGCGGATGGACCGCAGATTTGACAATTGTTCTGTCCGCGGCCGCGGATCTGATCGCGGAGCTGGTCCTTGCTCTTCTTTCTCCTTTTTGACCGTGCTATTCTCCGATTGGCCTTCCACGCTCCATATTGACTCCAAAACACTCTTTAGCTTCCTCCTAGCTCTGAGTGGCTCCTGCAAACCGTAAAACTCTTAATTAGAGCATTTTGTTATCTTTTACATTCAAACATTGATAAAGTGTGGCTAAATTAGAGTGTAAATAGTATCTAAATTGCACAATTATCGTCTACTATAAGTTTTTTCAAAAAGAAATGGTATGAGTACTTTTTTTTTGCTCAATGCAACATTTTTCCAATATTCGGAAAAAAATTACTTAATTTACTTGGAACTGAGACTTAATTTATATTTGTTATGAGAAAAAAAGTCATTTTTTTTTGGTCTAAAAGAGTGAAATGAGGCAATATTCTCAAAGTACTTCAGTGACATTTCTTTCAATTCTAGTGATCTTGAGAAAATTCAATAAAGCAGGTGAGCTACTATAATGGAGCTTTCCACCCAGAAAAACTAAAAAAAATAGTATAAGATGAAATATAGTACTAATGGGACCCGCGTACCCAATTCGGACATAACCGCCCCATTGGCTCTGAAATCCACATAGACCCGAACTGAAAACTTTCCTTAGGCGCCACGTGAAACCGCAGCGACAACATGACTCACTGAGTCAATGTAAATGAACCTGTTGGACTCCACTACTGTTCGGTCGGATCGTCCAGATTTATAAACTCTTTTGCCGGATTTGAGATTTGAGAAGGAAAATGCAGAGCCGGGGATCCAATGCCCGGTTCTCAGGAATGGGAACGCGATCCCCGATTTCATCTCTCATGCTTGCCATGTTCGCTACCATGGCTTCCTTCTATGTCGCCGGCCGGTGAGTTTTCTGACTTCACCGGAAATTTTCTCGCTAAAATGTTTTTTGAGTGCACTGATTTAGCATTGTTGTTAATGCTACAGCTTATGGCAAGATGCACAAAACAGGGTTTACTTAACAAAAGAGCTCGATAGAATAACCGGTCAGGTATATTTAAGCCTTACTTCATTTTTTATATTTCTTAGTTTTTCTTAATTGGACATGGAGTGCTTTTAATTTTTTGGATTTCGTGTTATGTTGGACTGGTGTGAGTTGTGTCGATTGTACTTTGTCAATGTAATGGCTCTTTAATTTGGATCCACTTGACGGATCCAGGATCTTAATTACTAAACACGCCTATTACTTTGTAGCATTGAGTGCATACTTAGTTTGAATATCTATTTTTGAAGGGAAAAAAAATTCATATGGTTCAAATTGAGTATAAGTAGTTGTGATTGCACCAACTGCCCAATTGTCTCATCCGGCCTCGAGCTTGTGACATAAGTGTCATTTGGTAGATCACTTGGAAGCGTGTAGTGAAAAATCATTATTGTCCAATGTGATGGTGTTCAACATGTAAAGTTCAAAGAAAACACCTCCTTGCTTTCATTAAGTTTGGAATTTTAGGCAGTAATATATATAGCAACTGATGTGCAGACTTAAGGTCTGGACAATGAAGACAGTAAATGTTTTACTAGTAACAGCTTACATCCATTCTTGAACAGACCCTCGATTTTGATGTAAACTTTGAGCTGTAATCTCAATTTGGTCGCATAAGAGTAGTTTGTGTGGCACATGTGTCATTTAGCAGATTGTTGGGAAGCTTGTGAAGAAAAAATCATTGTTGTCCTACTGCCTACGTGATTAGTGTTCAACATATGTAAAATTCAAAGAAAGAGCATTTTTGGTGTGATTAGGTTGGGCATTTTAGGCAGTAATATCTAGCGATAGATATGCAGTCCTATTCTCTGGGCTGGAATGAATTCAGTAAATGCTCTTCTACTAGCATTGGTTGACGTCCATTCTTGAGCAAATGCTCAATTTTGATTTTTGCGCTTTATGTGGAAATTAATATTTCTACTTAATTTCCAGGGACACTCTGCAATATCTGTGGATGACACATTAAAGATCATAGAATGCAGGTTCCAAAATCTTCTCCTCTCAGTTGGTGTTAATAGATGTTGCACTTGACAAATTGTGTACTAGTTTAATTAAGAATGTTTGGTTATTAGGGAGCAAAGGAAGAAACTATCTGCCCTAGAGATGGAACTGGCAGCTGCTAGACAGGAAGGATTTATCTCCAAACAATCATCAGATATGAAGAGAACTAATGAAAAGGGTCCAGTAATAGTAATAGGAATTTTCACAAGATTTGGGCGCAAGAACGAGAGAGATGCTATAAGGAAGGCATGGATGTCAACTGGTAGAGTATCAGTTTTTATTACGTATCTTGCTAATTTCTTGCTCAATCTTCACATAAATCATGATGTTCTGGACTCTCATACTGTTTTTTTCTGCCCTTCCACCAGAAATGAAATGCCACAATTTGTCTTGGCATGATTAGTTAGTAAGATAAATGAAAACGGACATTTGTTAATCTTTACAGAGGAGAGAAGTGGGTGGAGAGAGATTGTTGGAGTCCCTAGTAGCTTTCCAAAATTCAAGAATATAATTGAACAACATTGTATTTAGAACTGGATAACTACGCTCCTGTAAATATAATTTTGGTTCTATCATATAACAAGATAGAACTTCTTTTTTAGTAACATGGAAACCGTTCAAATAAGCTAATATGAAGTACGGTGAAACTTGCAAGAATCTATTGGTAAGAATGGTCTAAGAGAAACTTCTCTCGAATATCCCTCAATCTTAATTCAAAAGGTAGATCACAAAGCTCTTTCAATTACTTTAAAGAAGTACCAAAATAAATTAAGGCATGCGTTGCAACAATATTCAATATTATGCTCCTCCTTCGATTAAACACGATAATGAATAAAATCACAACTAGAGTTAAAGCTCTTCCAATAAATTCAAGCAGTCAAACAATAATCAAATTCATAGATAACAATCAAGTCACAAAATCATGTCAAACCCTAAGGGAAACTACTCCATAATCATGGAGGGAGTCATCACAAATAGAGTTAAAGAATAAGAAAACATCAATCCAACATTACAATCCAAACTCCCGTATTGAATTGATGGAAAGACGATGAAATCTTGTGTCTTGAAGCCTCCAATCCACTCCAAAAGCTCCCAAGGTCAAAAGTCCCCTAAAAAACGTGTTTCTAATGTATTTATACCAAGTCGGAACGCGCCTAGACCAAACTACCCTCTTTGAGTTGAAGTGGGAAAACTTGGAAACTTTTTACACTTCCCTCGTCGCACAGTGCTACGCGGGAACTTAGCTTGTCTGACAAACTTTTGTACTAATGCGTCGCTCCCTGCCACGCACCCTGCGTTGCATTAGTGTATTTTTCTGTCAGACCCAAAAACTCCAAGTGTCTGAACTTCTCATCTGACGAACTTTTGTACTAATGCGACGCTCAATGCCACGCCTTATGTGACGCACTAGTACATTTTGCTCTAGCCCTTGCGCTTTCTTCCAACTTTCGTATGCAACGCCGGTCCACGAGCCCCGGACACGATCCCGGTTTAGTTCCTTGGACTTTTACTCAGACTTTAAAATTTCAAATTATTCGATTTAGCTTCAATTTATATTTTTAACTCGGAATCATTTCCTGCAAGGCATAAAACACGTAATAAGTGCAAATCACCATAATTTAAGCTCAAACACAGGTAAAGTAAAGTAAAGTAATTAGAGTGCTAAATACGGCTAAAATACGGAAGTCTAGCCTACCATCAACGACTCAGAAAGAAAAGGTGAGATACTGAATTCATGACGGAGAAACAATTTGTTCCGGAGTAGGAAACTTATAATTCCAACACTTTTAGTTTGACTTGAAAGTTATTTATTGGAAATTTCATGTGAGATTCTTGATGTCATGGTCCTAGAGGTTTAGAATCTGCATATCTGCTCGAAGTATTTCTTATCACATTATGTTAATACATTCAGGGGCAGTTCTGAAAAAAATGGAGGAAGAGAAGGGCATTGTTGCACGTTTTGTCATTGCAATTTTTGGAAAAAAAATAGTATTTGGAGTTGAGTTGAAAAATAATATTTGGAATTTGAAATTGTGTTTGGACGTGCATTTCACTTGAAAAAATATTGTAGTTTTGTGAGTGGGAAATTTTTTTTTTTTTTTTTTTTGAATTTTTTTGAAAAACTCATTTTCGAAAAATTTCCAAAAACTTGCAAAATTTCATAGACAAGTATATTTTTGAAAAAATATTTGGAAAAAAAGGAATTTTTTTTTAATGGACAAACAGGTCCTTGATGTCAAGGTCCTAGAGGTTTAGAATTTGCATATCTGCTCGAAGTATTTCTTATCACATTATGTTATACATTCAGGTGCAGCTCTGAAAAAAATGGAGGAAGAAAAGGGCATTGTTGCACGTTTTGTCATTGGCAGAAGGTATTTCCTTTATGGTTATTATCTCTTTTGTTGTGAGTATGTACAAATTTGTTCACTCATTTGCACTCAATTTGCAGTGCTAATCGTGGAGACGGCTTGGACAGGAGCATTGACAGTGAAAACAGTCAAACTAATGATTTTTTTATTCTTGTGAGTTGTAGAAGTGGTATATTCTATTTTTATTCAGTAAGTTCATTTTCCTCGTGCTTGGTAATGGAGGCAGTTGTTGGTTCCCAGCCAGTGAGTGAAATATGTGTTTTCTCATTGTATCAAAGATGTTTTCTTGAGATGAATTCATCTTTCGTTGATTTAATTTTTCGTATCTGTTACAAACAGTTCAGTGACCAGCATGGATAACCTGAGCAGCAACTTTATTTCCTTTTAATCCCAAATACTTTTTCGACGAGTCTGAACCGAAAGATATTGCGGTTAAGCCCCAAATAGTCTTCCCAGCTTGAGAAATTCAGCCAGGCATAGTGGTGTTTAGCTGACAATAGCATTTTTTTGGACAGGAAAATCATGTTGAGGCTCCCGAGGAACTCCCAATGAAAACAAAGCTATTTTTTGCACATGCAGCAGACAGTTGGACTGCTGACTTCTATGCCAAAGTCAATGACAATGTCTTTGTAAACCTTGGTATGAATAATGATCAGCAAGCACTATAAGCTAACTACTAAGACCACCTAAAGAACTTGCTAGAATTTCTTTTTCATTAAAAAAAAGGCTATTCTTATGCAAATACTTGTTCTTGACATCTGTCAACAAGTGAACATAAGCTTCAATAAAGTGCGAATACGGTGCAGATTCCCTGGGAAATACACTTGCGTCATATTTGAATGTCCCTCGTGTATATATTGGGTGCATGAAATCAGGCGAAGTTTTCTCTGAGAAGTAAGTGTCGTTGGATAACTCGGCTTATTGATAGTATTCTTCTGAACTGAAACAGTTGCATAAAAGTGCTTGAGATCATCTATTATGAATATGATCAGTCTTACTTGATTATGACAGGGGCCAGAAATGGTATGAACCAGATTGGTGGAAATTTGGAGATGGGAAAACGTAAGTTTCTCCTGCCCTTAAGGAAGTGCATTCACTCGTCTCTGTGTTACACTAGTTCTAATTTATTTGCTGTACTCCTGATATGAGAGGACTATCAGCAAGAGGGTTGGTATCCTTTTTGTTTATTAGTAGAACTGCTCCTGCTCTGCTGCATGTTTCCCTTGAAGCTAGACTGCAGAGATTGACTTTTCCAGTTACCTGATTTGCTTGCGAGGCCAAAATTTTCAAATCAACATAATTCAGATTTTTGTCATTTCACAATTTGCACTGTCGCTGCACCTACTCTTAACAGATTAATTAGTGGTTGTGCATTTTCTTGGAGAGATATGAAGCCTCCATGCACACTTCCCTCCCAAACCCTAAAAGAAACCGCGTGTGTATGTCTATATATATATATATATATA